AGAAAGCTAAACTTAAAAAATTCTTATTCCCACTCCAGAAATGCATCCGAATCTACACCCCATTTATATGTCTTTCTTCCAAAGTCCCCCGAAAATCACTTTTTTTTTCAAATACTCCAAAAATTGCTTCTTTTTCCAAATACTCCAAAAATTGCTTCTTTTTTCAAGTACTCCAAAAATTGCTTCTTTTTTCAAGTACTCCAAAAATTGCTTCTTTTTTTCAAATTTACCAAAAACTGCGTTTTTTTTTTCTTCGAAATACATCGCTTTTATATGAATTCTATTTGATGAATGAATTGGTATATATGAAAAGGACAAACCATCATCACAAGCAGCACTAGTCCCGGGTGCTTCTGTGCCATCCTTCATTTCACTGCCACCATCCGTTGTTTTTGCCGAGGATTTCGCAAAATTTGCCCGCTGTCGGCCACCAGTTTTTTTTGCCGGTTTGTTGTCATACAGTGCTAATTTGATCGAAAATTTTACGAATCGTCGCCATGCTGAGGGGCCATTGATTGCTTTCTCCACACATGGTTTACCAACCAAGCAAGTATTCTCGAAACGATCTAAATATTTCAGTTTTTTATGCGGGACAATTCAAATACCAAGTGTTAAATGGTACTCACGCAATTTTGAGCAAATACTGGAAGCGTGAAAAGAGGAAAAGGCGCAAGTGGGAACCATGCATACGCGATGACTGGGTTTGAGCCCATTAAGGCTTAACATGGGCAGGAAAATCCCCTTAAAATTTCAGTTTTCTAGCTTTTCTGGTTCCCGAGTTAGCAATTTGCCAATCAAAGACTTTGGTGGGCCCGAACTTGGGTACCACGCGGATAAGACTGCCCATTTAAAAAAAAAAATAGCTTTTTTATCGTACAACCGTTTAAAGATCCCATTTTGCCGGTGGGACAACCAAGCCTTCCATGAAATATTCATTTTTTTCAAAGGCAATTTGGTGCTGGCATGCGCCGGAGAATCAAACTCGCCATCAGCTTTCCTTTCACAAAAAAATGTGCAATTTTGCGCCTGGAGACTTCATCCCTTCCCATTCTATGAACTTTATCGATGCTTTTACAACCTCGCCCTGTGCAATATTCATTAAAAACATTGTAAAACTATTATATTTGTCCTGCATTATGTCTTTTTTTAAATTTATTTAACTAAAAACACGACATTTTATGTCCTGCTTGCTGCATAAATGTACGGTCCCATAACAAAAACTTCAAAAACAGTTGAAAAATAGAAAAAACAAGTCATAACTGGAAAATGCTGTCGTATAAGAGATCAAATGATGATTAATGCTTTTTTGTTAAAAGTAGATTAAAGAATAACTGCTTTACTATGACACAATACCCCTGTCCCTGGTTCAAACTTTGGACACCTTGTCCTCGTTAAACTTTCGCTATCTTAGTTTCTCTGACCCCTGGGGTGCAAAAGTGTTCCTCCCCACCGCCGGGAGGACCACAGCTCATCACCACTCTCAACCTATCTTTTTAACTTCTATTCCTGCTCTGGGGAGCTTCGGCTCCCCAGCTTGTTTTGCATCATCTAATATTCTCTGTATTTATAAATATGTATATATCACTAGGAGTTTTACACACACACACACGCACACACATACACACACGCACGCACACACACACATACACACACGCACACGCACACACACACACATACACACTCACTCATTTACACGCAAGGCATACCACTAGTCTAAAAATATTAACTGGTAGGGTCGCGATAATGACAAAATCGAAAAAAAAAAAAAACTTACTGGTTCTTTCGCTAAAATGACATTTCACCATCACTGGTATGACATAATTTGGCGAATCGCCAACCCATGGATTCGATAGGATTTTCATTACACTACTCGCACACATCACCACTCGTACGCCGTGTCTGTTTGCCAAATGTAATGCCAATTCATCCGATTCAATCGGATACTGAAATGAACGGGAAAACATTTTGTACGGAGAACATTTTGTAATCTGGTATAGCTAAACTAGTACTTTCTATCCTGATCTACATAACTCCAGTTGACATCGCCGCCTAATCCGATGCGTCCTGAAAACTATTCGATAAACAAAAAAGGGAAAACAAACTTTGCATGGTTGTTTTG